AACAGCACGAGAAATATATAGAATTCTTTCATAGAAGAGACCCGAATAATTTTATCAAACAGCAAGAGCGGGATCAACTCAAGAAAGAATTATGCGAAGAGAATTTGATTGCCCTAAGGTATATTTGGTATTATGAAGACCCATATGAAGTTATTCCTGAACATCTTCGAGAATTGGGTCTCATTGAATAAACTCAAAACTTTAAATGCTTTTGCGATTCACTATTATTTGACTATAATTTTATTCATCCGGGATACACACCACACCGTATACAGCATACAGTAAAAAAAAATAAAAGCGTGCTTTGGTAGTAGACAGGTGATAATCACGCTGATATGACGATTCGTCAAATATATTTCAGGAATCGCTTTGCTAAAATGATATGAGATTGCTTCAATACATACAGGTTTCACTTTTTTTTTAGACAACTTGATGATTATAAATATACTTATCTTATGCAACAAAAGAACACTAAGATCATGACAACATATTCAACTAAAGTGACACTACAGTGACCGGCATGCCAAACAGCATCCATAAAACGACTACCAGGAAGCGTTCTCGTCACTGAGCATTCAGATAGTGCACGCACACTTCTGTCATTTAAACTTGTATCAACAAGGAAATGTCACTTCCAGTCGAAGGGACAAGGCGATGTCTCAACAAGGTGAATATGTTGTCTGTGGAGGACGCACAAAAATCCGGCATATGTCACAGCATATCCATGGGCAAGGGAAGACCTTGCTTGAATTCTTGGCATTACGATGCACCAACGCTGATACACGCTCTTCCACACAGCAGATAGTTAAAAAAAGTTGTTCCGTTATTTTAATTAAGTAATAGATCGGCACTCAATAGGAGAAAATGATCGGCAATCTATAATTAATTTTACGGGCTCGTTATTAATAAAAAAAAATTTTTGGAATTTCGTGTTCCTTATTATACAAACTTTGTTAACAAGCAACAAAAATCACTATACAGTAACTCTTTTGGCTAAGGAAATTATTTCAGATACTTGCAAAACGGAATATATGCATAAGACTGGTGAGAACTGTGCAATCTAAAAATAAATAAAAAATAAAAAATAAAGCTAAACTAAAACTAAATAAAGATTTAAAAACTAAATAAGAACCAAAATTAACTTACTTTTGGTCAAAATGGGAAAATAAATCATCTAAAATTTGAATTAGCTGGAAATTTACGGTCGGAATCTTACGTTCATCCATAGTGAAGTCAAAGACGTGCGACTTCAAACTCCGCAAGTGGCTTGGTTAGGATTGACATTACTATCTAATACACATGTGACTTTGTTACACCGCGTCTGGCGCGTTTCGATCGGTTGATCAAAGATGTTAGGTACGTCATACGCGATGCTGGGTGTAAAAAACCGCGCCCACAAAACGGACATGCATACTGAGTATAGCTTGATAATTATTTCAATACTGTATATTCACACAACCATGACAACAGGTACATTAACGACTAGTACCGCACTCAAAAACGCTATCATCGAATCCTTCGATGATTGCATCAAGGACTACAAGAATTGGGGGCTCGAGCATACCCTACAATATCTTGAAGACTCTAATATCAACTTCGATGAAAAAGATTACCCATTCATCAAACGACAAGTGATAGACAAGGCGGTAGAAGTGTTTAATAACCCGTACACCACGAAAACTATCACAAACAAGGCGAAATCGTTGATTAAGAATCTTAGAGTGGGTTGGGTTAGCGGCGATTTTTTTTATTATTGTATGCATGTTAATCTTTCTCTTTATCAGAATTCGTCTAAAATGTCCACGAAAGCCGCCGAAATCTTTCAACGGCAAAAAAACAAAACAGAACAGGTACAATGTGCGCTATTTAGTATACGGAACATTTTATTGAGTTCATTTGCAAGAAAATGTACTTTCCTCTGCTTCCACTAACACCACCCATTTTTTGGTTAATGACAGAATCGGTTTTATTACTGTATGGATAAGAATGTTCGGAAGATAGAGACCACGATTTCATCAGTACATGTAAGGGAAGTGAAAAGGCACGCCGAAACATCTAAACAAGCCATTCGCGTGAGTATTCAAATTATAGATAATTTAAAATCTTGGACAATGTTGCCGATTGCCAGTGATTTTCTTCTTATTTTGTACAGATCAATTTCATTCGGACCCCAAATATTTCTTCACGAAGAGGCAATGAACGAGCTGGGAATTTTCCAGAAATTGATAATGATGATTCGGATAATGATGAAGATAAGAGCGATAATGTATTACTACAATCAGAATCAGAGGTCAGCAATGATAAAAATTCTGCACAAATATTTAAACTTTTCTTACTTTGTGGATACCCGCAGATTATAACCACCGCCACCGCATCTACTACCACCGCCACCGAGGAAGCTGATGAAGCTGGTGTGAATAATCGTCAGGTTTCTGTAATTTCTGTAGAAGTTGATTCGCAGTTCCAAGAATTTCAAGAAACTTATTTTGCAATGCGCAATGATATGAAATGGAAGCTTCCATCCGATAGTTATGTTGAAGATATTATTTTTAATTACGCGAAGGATCGCCCTTATGAATGGTTAGCGTCAAGTTAAAAGTATCTATTGTCATAAACTATGATCTAATATTTTTTTTTTTTTACCAGTCTATCACATAGTTTTATTCTTGATACTGAAAACGAAAATATAATGAATTTGTTTAATAAAAGTGATAAAGAATATATCAAGACATACAATGTTATAGCTGATCCTGAATTGGAGGATGACCTAATAGAGTACCTTCTTACATATAATGAAGTGAGTATTTTCCTTCCTGCAAATACAATGAGAATGTGTATTTGATAATATCATCCTTTTCATCCTATATAGACTGATCTTTCAAAGATGCGGGAGAAAATCAATGCAGGGATAGGCATAACTCCATATGATCCTAAAAAAAACTTTGATTATCAATATATCTATCAAGTTTTTGTTAGTCTGTGAGTAATCAATCATGTTTTTAATGATAATTGTCAATTGTATTTATCTATAATCTTCTGTTGCCAGCCTGCCCAGATATGAATTGAGATCTACCGATTTTACCCGAGCACACTTGGAGGGATGGTTCAACTCAAATTTATGGAGTATAATCATTGACTCATGCCTTATGGTTTAGTCACAACTGAGTTTATCCGGTAAGTTATTTAATGTATTGTTTTGAATTTTCACTTTTCAGGATTAGTATAATTATGTTGTGACCAATTTTTTTTTAGGGGGGAAGGATGTTCCCGTGCATCATCAGAACGAAAAAATAGAGGAAGAGAAAGCACAGAAACAAGGGCTAAGATTGGCAGAAAGTGTGATGGAATTTTGCGAGAGCTTGCGTCAATCGAAGAATATGCAGTTAGTGAAGAGGGAAATCTTTGTGTAGGAAAAAGTGGAACAAAATACTTAACAGATTGTGGATTAAAAATGCCAAAGGTCATGAAAGATATGATTAAGCAAAAGATTAACAAGCATGGAATTGATTTCGTAAAATCCCAGCATTTTGAAATTGTTGGGTTCTTACATTCAGGTAATAAATGTTTTTTATTATATAATTCCATATACCTTTCTAACAATACCGTACCATCATTATTAGAAATAGAAGATCTGATATTTTTAATTCACAAAGTCCTTGTTGCCAAGGTAAGTTTAAAAGTATTATTACAATGAATCATCTGCCCATTCTTATGATTCTATTATTTTCTTTAGTATCGCATTAAGAGAAATATAGAACTATCAAATAAAAAATGCCAGAATTTGAAAGAAGCTTTAAGAAATAAACGGACCAAGAAGTCAGAACCTGATAATTATTTGCCCGATAATCAAACTTCTCCAGACAAATCGAAAAAAAAAGCCAGGTTACATTAGATTAGTTTCTAATTAGCATAATGGCTAGATGCTAATCACAAATGTACAATACATGTATTCGCTTATCATATATAATATCAAAAATTTATATTGCTTAACTGTAGAGATTTATTCGGTTGATTTTGATCAATCATCAATAAAATGCTAATGATTTTCATTCTAATTTGTTCATTGCATAATGTGGATCTCCTGCCTTAATCTCAAATATTATCTCCCGCAGTCGAATGTTGTGTCATATGATAATCGTGAAGACTCTTCACACTTCCAACCAATAGAAGCGGGATCTATAGGAGGCTTCAAGGGAAATTGTTATAAATCAGCCATAAAAGTCCGATTTGCCGTAATGAATTTAGAACGCAAATATCTCGATAACCAATGGTCCAATTTTGATGAGGATTGAATGACTAGATTGACTAGATTCAACAGGTTCTGAACTTCTAACAATCCAAATTTCGTGAACATCCGATCACTGGATGCGTAGTTATTCAGGAAATGGTAAAGCCAATTATTTTGGATATAATCACGAAAGAATTTGGAGAGGCCACATCGCCAAAGTGGTGTGAGAAATGATGATAATCTGGGAACCTACAAAATACTAGTTTTTGGTTCTGGGAACCTAAAGGAAGTGAAAAATTGATAGGTTGTTATGCAAGAATTCATAGCTACCCAGTGAGTCCCATAATGTATTATTAGCACTATATAAGAAT